TACGGTCCAGCTTGCCAGGGTTAAATACCAAGTGCCTATTTGTACACACACACCCTCCCTGTCCTTGTCAACCAGCAAGATTTTTAATTCCAGTAAGGGATCACCATATGGAAGTGGATGGGCACTAAGCTGTACAGAGGAAGGAGAAAAGTTTTAGGGCTGTCTGCTGGAGAGTTTTTCAAAATCCTTCAGCATTTTGATTCCTATACACCAAGACTAAAACTCAAAGAAAGTCACTAGGCTGGAGCCCAGAATTGCAAGTTGTACCAACCCATGAATATAGGGCTGACACAGGATGCAGTTACAGCTCTTCTGTTTACTTCTTGATTTGCTTTTCCTCATTAGAGTTTTATGCATTGAGGTATGAAATAACTTGAACAACATATGTTACAGTCACTGTAATATAAGAAATACATCTTTTCAGCTCTCTGGGGAAGGGACTCATTATTTTGGAGCAGCATGTAAGGCCTACAAGACTTTGACCTATCTGCTTTCAAAGCCCTCCTGCAACATAAATGCCAAATAATCTGGGCAACTTTGAGTAGGCTTTCTCTTTCCTCCGAACATATGGCAATCCTTCTGTTTGATGTGGGCTATTTGCCTTCAGAAGAAGGAATCTGACTTTATTCAAAGTGATAACAATAGAACTCACCTGTCTCAGCAAACTTCAGATAATTGCTTGGTGTGCTTGGATATGCAGCATGTTAGAAGAGATTTACAGCATTCTCAGCTGCTGTTGACTTCCTACCCATTAAAAAAATACAACATGATCTACAAGGTTTCATATTCAAAGATAGCATAGCATCTCTAGCATAACATCTTTTTCTCCTGTTGGGTTCATACCATTTGTAGGGCTGCCTTCAGCTTCTCCCTAGCTAAAATCAGTTTATAACTCACATTGCTAACTACAGCCTCATATTCTCCACACCCATATAAGCACAGAACAGTTTTGTTAGTACCTGGTTTTCTATAGCTCCATGTGTACAGAAGCTCCTATTCTCTGCTTCCCAAAGCACATCTCTTCTGGGTAAAAACCCACAGTACAACCCCCACAGCTCAAAATTGCCAAGCAGTCCCACCTACCTCTAGCTCTTTTTATACACACCTGAGTTAGCGCTGCCTAAGTTCAGCTGGGACCATACTTAGGGTTTCAGCTGAGTAATGGCACTGTGCCAGTCATCTCTTTGGGTTTTGATGCCAGTCCAAAGGTGTCTTGAGAGGCTCGAGGAAAAGTGTTGGGACAGACTTACTAAGAGTTAGTACATACGCGCGTAAAAAGTCAGCGCTGCTTCAGTTCCCATATCCCCAGCTGTGTGTTCCCACTCTGTTCCTCTCAGCAGTGCTGGGATTTGTCTGATCTCAGGATTAACTGGTTCAAGGAACTAGGTTTAGCCCACTGAAGACAAACTGAGCAAAATAATTTGGGTTTTTTTTTTTTTGTATTGGTTTAGTTCCAGGACAAGTAGAGCAGAAAACTGCAGTGTGAGGAGGTGAGAATCTAGACAGAGACAGAATTCATTTTTGCTTTGAAAAATGCCTGCGATGGCTCTCAATTCTTGCTTAATGCTGCCATTATTCAGAAGAAAAAAGTATGTCCGATTTAGGTGTGATTTCCCTTTTCTGTAGCTATAGCGATCACGCTGATGTTCGTTTGACTCAGTACTATTTCAGAATAGTATTAAAATGACTAATATCTGAACTATGTGCGTGTCATTTGACTCACACTTCAGGCCTCAGTTCATTGGAGGGCCTTTGACTGCTGCAAATTACTTTAAATTGGCAGAGGACTTCTCATAACAAGCGATATTTCAACATAACTTGGTTGGATGCCCTTCCAAAGAGGAAACAGTGATCCTGAAGCTTTTTGATGGTGTCACCTGGTCAGCGGTCATTTCTTGGCCCGTGGGCAGGTATGAATGAGTACGAGGTGACTCACATGGTCTAACCACTGCCGTTTCTCAAGTTTTCATCACTGGAGCCTGGGGTGTTTGTCCAACGTTTGCCAGATGGGGAAGGGCAAAGCTGCTGGGATCTGGCAGCGTGAACGGCCAGCTCTGCTGTGGTTTCTGCTCAGCAGCTGGAGGGAGACTGCCACCACCCCGAGGCTTTGAATCGCCAGCAAGGACCCGCGTGTCCTTCGTGAGCTCTTATCCCTCTGCACCCGACTTGGGATGCAAGAGCAAGCAGAAGTACACATACTTTTCCACTTGCCTTTTTAACTGGAAATGCACCTTGAAATTTAAATGTGTCGGGGTCTGATGTTGCTACAATATTGCGGTGTAAAAAACAAGAATGCAGAGGCCACTAAGCACAGCACATTTCACAAAACACTCACCCAGGAGCTACTGCCGAATGCTAGAAAGCCAAATTTGGCACGCAGTAGCTGTCCAAGGGCCAGATTTGGTATAAGTACAGGTTGTTTCAATATATGACAGATTACAAAGCAAAACGAAGAGCGATCCGCTGGCTAGGTGGAGTGAACGAGTGAAATCCAAATGTTAAAACATTTGACGAGTAAGACTGAAAGATCCCCCAAGCTCCCTTCTAATGTAAGGCCTAAATCTTTTCTTGATATCCTGCTTGATTTTCACCATGCAGATAGCCTTATGTTTGCCCCTCACAGTCTCCAGCATACATTATGGTTGATATAAATATCGCCAGGTAATAAAATCTCATTTTCTGCTGAAAGGATCGGTTGCGAGTAATGCTACGCCACAGCCGTGCCAGCCTCGCTCGCCACCAAACTAGCTTGCTGCTTTTTGGCACGAGCGGTGAGACTTCTCATGCAAAGCATAGTAGTAGCATTGCAGCCTGCTTCTTCGCACTAAACCTGGGCTTGGGCGCGCCGCGGCTGGCAGGGACTGCTGGCTCTCCATATGCTTAAGTCTTGGCCCCCGTCTCGGTGGGGATTCACGGCTCTGCTGGATTTCTCAGGCTTTCTTCAGGGGGTCTACAAAATCCAGGAAGAGC